CGCAAGCCAACTTTCGGATATACGTTCATGCTATTGGGTGCCTCTCGGCCCCTCAGCAAGCGGAATCAAGAATCAGGTCTCGGGGGTAAGGATAGAGTAAAGGGTTAAAAGATAGGACCATATTAAATACTACTCAATTTGCGATCTATAAAGCACACCTCCGTCGTGCTTCCAAGGTACCTACTAAGTCTACCCACCTGTTCCGGGAAGGGACATATTTTGGCCCCCCCGTCGAGATACAGTTGTGTGGTAAGACCCAAGTGCGAATAGAACCCCAGGATACATTTGTCCTGTGGTTTCGGTCCGAGTAGCACCCCCCCCAACTCAATCCGCTATCGGAAGCGATCTCCCTACCCTAGTGGTCCGGGAGCAAGTAAATGCTAGGCGGTTAACAACCCTGAGACATCAAGGAAGGAAAAAGCCAGGGTTGAGTATCTGAAGAATCTGGTCATAAGTCCACCCTCGACCTAGTCGACCGAGTGGCCACCTATCCGCCTACCGAGTGACGTATACCCACTCGAGGCCCCCCAAGGTCGACCTCTCTCAAGGCCGACACCACATCACAACCAAGTCCTGCGAAGAGAGCAGCCCGCCAGCCGACGGGTACACATGGTCAGAGAAGGTCTATACGCGGCATCTGGGGTACCCTCTCCGACAGTCGGCAGTCCGGCACAGTGAGTGGCTTGGGGTCTCATAACGCAGGTTTGAGAACCCACTACACCACATAAGTATACGAAGAATAAGCAGTCGCAGGTCGACAGTTGAATACATGCTCAGATCGATGGGATTGACGGTGTGATTTGTTCGGACCTAAACGGCTTACTGACACCAAGAGATCGGCTCGAAAATCGGTACCTTGTCAAATTCGTCGACCACAAGTCAAAGTATTGCGCGTTCTTGGCGCCTACAAAGGGTAAGGCAGCGAAGAAGATTGAATACGTTCTCAAGTATTGTGAGAAGAGATTCGACTGCGAGATTCACGTCTTAAGGACTGATGGTGGTGGCGAATATAACAACGTTGATTTATTCTGCCAACTCAATGGAGTCGAGCGTCAAGTCAGCGAAGCAAGAAACCAAGCGTCAAGCGGAAAGGCTGAGCGCATGCATAAGACTATACTGAACATGGAGCGAAGTATGGTACGCGCAAGTCAACTGCCGCTGACGTTCTGGGGAGATACTATTGAGAACGCGGCGTACATCCTCAACATGAGTCCGACACAGCAAACAAAGAAAGTGCCTCTGCAATTGAGATCCTGATAAATCATGCACCTGATCTTCGGGACATAGTTATCTAAGAAAGCTTTTGCTCTGTGTACAGGGACCCGCGCAAAGACTCGCTAAAGCAGCTATCTACAGTCAGGGTCATCATCGGAGTAAGCGACGAAACAAAAGGGTATCGTGTTTTCCTTCAGAAGGTGAACAAGATTGTTACAACACAACATGTGACGAATATCTAGACACTGACTGAAGATCAGAATAATCAACTGCAGAAAGGTTTGACGATTGAAGACCAAGCGGCACCCTCAGTGACGTCAAGTGCAACCGTTTCAAAGACAATCGTTAAAGATAAGAGAAAGGCGAAAAATTATGGACGTGAGATGCACATTGCACGTGTTCAAGGTCAAGACGCGCAGAGGAAGTCGTATGTCAGGAGGAGCCGATACAAGATTCAAGTGTTGTAAGTGGCGTTTTCGAATGTGATGCAAAGAACTGCGCTGATGCAATGCGCAGTGCCATGTGTGCAAGTTGGAAGAAAGCGATGTGTGAAGAATTAAAGGCGCTCGAGGCTAACAGCGTATGGAGCTAATCAAGCGTCCAGAACAGTCAATGCTCTGTACACAAAATGGGTCTATCAAGACAAAGAAGAACGCAAACGGCGACATAGAGCGAATCAAGGTGCGACTGGTCGCGTGTCGAAACGAGCAGGTACTGAAATGGACTACGGTCTGACTTTGCAGCCGCTATGGACATGTTGATGGTGAAGGTGCTACTGCCGCGTCGACATAGTCGCAAACGAACTTGATTCGCACGTCAATGTGCTTGGCCTTGGTCAATAAAGCTTATCCTTTGAGTTGATTGATACCCGCCTGATTATCTACATGAAACAGCATGGGTATAACTGGCGTCATGTTTATCTCGCAAAGCATCTCGCGCATCCCTCGCAAGGCATCTCGCGCATCCCTCGCAAATCTCGTGCAGCTTCCGATCCAGCGACAAACTCTGCTTCCATAGTAGAGAGAAAAACACCACCCTGTTGCTTCGCGCTCTAGCTTACTGGCATACCATTAAGTAGTATAATATACTCAGTTAGCGACCTGCAATCATTCTTGTCTGCCGCGAATCTGCGTCGCTGTATGACTCCAGCGCAGGTGGACCCTTGCCTCCAATTCTAGGTGTCATCCAAAGTTTTAGCCCTCGTATTCCTTTCAAATAGCGCGCGATTCGCTTTGCCAGATTTCAGTCGTGGACGTGTGGCTGATGAGTTTGACGCGTCGCCATGTGAACCGCAAACGCCACATCAAGGCGCGTACATCGTGCCACCCATAACAAACTCCCAACGAGTGACTGAAAGTTCTTGACCGATTGCATTACAACCGCACTTTTCACGTCTAGCAGCTTGTCATACACGTCCTTAATCTTGAAGCATTCCGCGCCAATCGGTGCCAGCGTAGAGTTCGCATTAACTAACCTATGTCTCGTAACATCTCCATAATCGCCTCCTCCTGGTCAAGGACATAAACCCCGTTGCTGTCAAGGTCGACGCGCATACCCAAAAATTTCGACACACGTTCCAAAACCTTGATCGACAAAGATTTTCAGGCTGACGAAGAAACGATCGACCGCTTCCGCGCTGGTGCCGGTCGCCAGAAGATCGTCGACATAAACTCCAACCACGACGATATCATCGCCATGCTTTTTGCGGTACAAACATATGTCGCGACACACTGTACAAAACCAGCCTCTGTTAACTTTACGTGCAGCAACTAGCTCCACAGACAGCCCGTTTGCTTTAATCCATATATAAGCTTTTGCGTAGCCGCAGCGCTAAATCACATGTGACTCTAGCATCATGTTCTTTGAGGATCTTGTCGCTGACAGCCATACCTCGAGGCACTTGTAGGTAGATCTCCAGATAATTTTCTTTGTCGGCCTTGACATAGGCGTTCGAGCTTTGCAGGTATTTTCTATGTCAATACGTGCGCTCCGAAGCGATGCTTGCAGACTTGTTGACCAAAGCATTAGTTTTGGTCAAGCTTGCGCGTGCTTATGTGCATGGTGTAGTCGTGCAGGGACTTAAGGATGCAAAAGGTTGAAGGAAAGTGCCATGAAGATCGGTGATGGTGGCACGACTGCGGTTCAGAACCTGGCATCCGAGGAGGAGTGTTGAAAAAGGTAAGGTATTTGAGGCTGATCTTTGCAGAAGGCTGTATGCGTGCAAGAGAGCGTCAGCCAGTTCTGGACGGTTGCTTCTGACCGTGATCTTATCTACCATACATTGAAGGTAGTGGAATAGAAAGGAGCTGGTTAACGCAAACAGTAACGGTAGCTTAGCAAGCACAGAGAGAAAGCAATAACGACAGAATCAAATTTATTCTTATCCAGCGAGCAATTTCCTACACCTTGCTTTGCAAAGGCCGCATGCGCTTACCGCGTATCTTTATGCCATGTATGCACTGTTTTGAATGTTATTCAGGAGAATATGGTTTTGGCTATGCCGATTGGCAAAGCTAAGTAATATATGTAATCTATAATATGGTGTGGATATGGTGTAATTCGTTTTCTGTGTAAAACACACCATGGAATACCATTCAATACCGTTTGGTATTTAAAAACCGTTCAGTTTGATTGATCGCCGATGTATGATAATATAGCCCCGAGCTAAAGGGTATAACAGTCACTTTCGGTGTAAATACAGAGAAAACAAAGGCGGATACGAAGTAAACAGTAAGCTGTTCGTCTAACACCACGTATTCATGCGACAGAGTAAAAAGTTTTCACAAATTTAAGCATACCAAAATCAAATGTAAAAACACGTGGATCGAGGATTCAAATTATTTAGTAAAGTCAGTTTATCAACAAATGCCTAGCAAAAGCTACAAACTCTTGCTGCAACTGCTATTACTAGTCCGTGCAAGATAGTGACGTCACAAGCGCTAGTGAGAGTATACGTAGGAGGATCAATGGGTATATAAACCAGGGTCTTAAGGATCATCCCGCGAGTAGGCGACTGGGGGATTAGCAGTAGAGCCACAAGGGATAAGGAAATTCACCAAGGATTCAAGCGTTTTGGGAAACCGGACAAGGGATTTTTGGGTGAAGGAGACATTCTTGAATAGTCAGAATGAAATCTAGGGTGTAGGAGAAATCCTTGGATACAGGTAATTATTTTGATCACCAGTCGGGATAGTAGCAGAACGAGTATCAGGGTTCCAGTTCCACTACCAGTCCGTGGCACTAGGAGGTCCAGCGATATCAGGTTCCAGTTCCAGAAGCGGTTCCTGTTTAACTACCAGGTCCAGTTCCAATACCAGTCGCAATGTCAGTTCTCAAAGATCCTTGCTGCAAATGGGAGGAGTATTATTCACGTTAGGGCTCCGATCGATGGTAAATTATTAGTTGGGTTGGGCATGGCCGTGTCGTTCTTGGTAAAACCTGGACACGGGATCGTGGCGCTGCCTACGCAACCAATCGATGGGAATACGCAGCCCCAAGTGTTGCCGTTCACGATGACGCAATGAGCGTCTTCCTTTGCGATGCACTGAGAATTGCCATAGGACGGAAGGTGTGGGTGGCAGTCGACCGTAGCCACATCGCCCTTAACCGGGCAGGCAGTGCCAGCAGGGGAGATGCCTGCTCCAGAGCAAATGGAACCGCGTGAGTCGGAGATAATGTAGGTGGCGTCTCTGCAGACAGAGACGTGAGTGTCAGCCAAAACGGCAGCAACGGCCCACGCCGTAGTCAGTAGCATAGTATTAATGACCTTCATGGGAGAAGTTGTGATGGTTACAGAAAATGTTTTAGTGTGTGCGAGTCTTGGAAAATTGTAAAATGATTAATATCAATTGAGGCAAAGCAAGCATCAATTTCGTGATGCACGTGCTTGCTATATATATACATACAAACATACAGATATACAGACGACAGACATATACAGGAAGGAATACGATAGTAGTAATATGGATTTGTAGTTTCTTCAAGGATGAACTTTTTTTTTCATTAAATTCTGTGACAAGATGAAAGGGATCCACGCGTCACTCTCGGGCGATATCTTCTTGATGGGAGAGCAAAGCTGATTCTTCTTTTTTCTCTTATTGCTGGGCCCTCGAACGTCTCAATTACTTCTCCTAAGTATTTGTACGATAGGCGCAATGCAGGAAGATTTTCTGACACGTCTGCAGGCAAAAGAGTACTACCGACACTCTAAAACAGGCTCATTCATGGTTGTGAAATCGTAATCGTTCGTTGTAACCGAATGAAAGCTGGTAGTAGTAATCCTCTAGTATACATTCACTCTTAAGATGCGATTAAATTGGAATCATTATTAGACCAGTATAGTAGCCAAGAGTGAATAGTCAGTAGCCAAGCGTGGATAGTCGGTAGCCAAGAGTGGATAGTCGGTAGCGGGGAAAGAAGGGAAGTCGGTACCAGGACGCTCGCAGGTGCTTTTCTGGAAGGTCACCAGTTGTCTCATGGCCTTGTCGTATCAATACAAATCCAAGTCAAAATAGCCTATCCTAAAATTGCGATGGCCACATGCTCTGATCGTCCAGATTCTGGACGATCGCTAGGCTGCTGCTTTCTTTTTAGACCAATGAGACTTTTGTTTATGCTAACAAAGCAACAATAATAATCTTACATTGATCGCCAAAAAAAACCTTTTTTGAATCGTTGTCTTTTCTCAGAAAAAAAAGAAAGCTCTGTATAGTCAGTCAGTCATTCTACCACACATAAAAACGCATTTCGTAGATTGCTTTTTAAATCAATCAAATTTGGCTGGTCACCATCGTTCCTAGGGTGTCATTCAATCTATACGGCTGCAGTTGTCGACAAGAACTATATCGGCCGCAATTTATTCGAAAGTAACACTGAATTATGATTACAGATGATGTGCACGTTCTTACTACATGATTTCAAGGACTGCGTGTGGTTTCGATAGACACTCCAGCATTTCTCTTAATTTAAAGGACGGACGGTGCACAAGTCCCTTGCAGCATCGGATGCAGAGCTTTCACAAGACTGTTGAGAATCCGTGCACGTGTTTTTCTTATGTGACGTTCTTAGTAGATGGTCAGTATCACCCCCCCCCCCCGATGGCAGAACTGGACTGGATTACTACTGACTAAACTTGCATTGTCGTTGACTCGTCAGCCTAGGAATAAAAGCTGTGGCTCGAATCTACAAGAACGACCATTTGGCTGACCAGTAAAGTCTGGCGCAACTTATAGTAGGTTTTATCTACATTAGTAGGTTGTAATAAGGGTCACAAGTCATTCTTAAAGGTGACGACAACCAGCTCTGTCGAGTGCCAATCTGCTTCCTTTGTCTCTCACATTAGCGTTTTCCATCTCCCCCACTTTCCACTCTAGTCTGCATCTATTAAGACAAGGACAGCTTCCGTGTTTTGGGCATTGCATTCAAACTTTATCGGTTCGTGATGTAACCTTTCACTCGGATCAAGGAATCGGCGCTGCTCCACTACAGAACGTCAGCGCTACTTCTGCCTCGCCGCATCTCAATAGAATCGTCCAAAACTGCTCTTTGCTTCGCTCGATTATTCATGCAAGATAGCACCACGTAGGCTAGCATACCAATGTTGTTTCCATGCTTGTAGTCTCTGTCGATGATGTAGCAGCTAGCGATGCATCTTTGACCCAGATTCTTAGCGTATCCAGCTCTTCCGGCGCGCCTTCGTCACATTTCGCGGGACCTCCAGGACCGAGAGTTCTGTGTTGAGCACCAGCCGCTGGTTCCCATTTTATTTTAAGGTCGATATCGGGTCTATGTCGTATCAAAAGCTCGCGAAGCAGTCGAGCAAACTCGCTACGGACAGCTGGGGTAATATTTGCAATCTCTAATGCTCGAGCACGTAAATCAGTCGTCCGTTTACATTGCAGCAAGTCCGCGATCCATGTAAGACAGAAACTGAACTTCTTGACGTTAGCTTTGCAAATGCCGACCCGAAGCAAATGTAACAGCTCCGTCTCAGTTGCCAGGTGGGGACACTTGCGCACGACAATGGTCTCGACACGAACGAACAACGCGCTTTCGTGTTCCTTTCCGTGAATTCCTTGACCATAGCATTTTTCGCACAAATCGTACTCTTCGTCTGCAAGTAAACGGCACGTGCGGCAAACCCACTTAATACCTGAGAGTGGCCCCCCTTCCGCAGCCATCGCATAATGTTTCATCTTCAACGTCTGTTGATCCCACCAGCATACCAAATGGTACTGGCGACGCATGCGATGGAGAGCTAGCAGTGAGTGACTGCTGTGACTTGTGGCGACTTAAGCGGTCAATCACACTTCCCACGATTTTCTTGATCTTGCCATCCTTCCCTTCTTTTTCGCGCGGAGGCATCGGTATCACGTCACCGTCGGAGCCCAAAGAAAACACATCCATTGAGGATGGAGACTGTGCTGGTGAGAGCAGCGCGCTCATGGTCATTGTGTATGTGCGTGTCGTCTCCATCGCGAACATTGAGCCTGTGCGATTAGGAGTCATCGTGTAGCGTCGTGATGGTGTGTCCAGCAACTTCTCAGCCAATCTATCCACTGAAGGTATAGCGGCTCGTGCTGCTGCTGGACCACTAAGAGGCCGCGAGACGAACATGGCCTTGGTCGCATGCAGTTCGCGAGGGCCATGAGGGACGGGAGCGCGAGCAGCGCCACGCCGATCTAGCTCCACGCTGTCGAATAAATGCGGTGCATTAACCTCCTCCGTCTCTGGTGCCGATTGTGTTCCTATAACCATCGATTCCTCAATCATTTCAGTGGAGGAAGACCTTAGAAGGGATGGCGCAGGTGGGGGGTAGCTTGTCCCCTGTAGCATTCTCACTATTGGTGACGCCATGTGCATGCGTTGTAGACACTTTAAAGTCCATCGTCTGCTTTTGATATGTTCGGCTGAAGAGCTGCAGCTGCTTCGAGTCATCAACGGCGTTCAACAGTGCCGGCAGCACATACAGCCGCAAGATGTGGCTAAGCTCTTCGGAGACGTCAGTGAACACAAGATCATCCACATTCTCACAATTTCTCTGTTTAACCACAGCAAGCAGCGACTGCAGTTTATTTCTATCTGCCTCAAAAAATGTCTCCAGCATAGTATTGGCTTGAGCAAGAGCTTTGGCTCGACTGGTAGTTTTAGGTTTGCATATATAGGGTGTCCATTGAGCATCCTCTACCTTGTTAATCTGTCCTCCTTCTCGTCCAGACTTCTCCTTATTGCTTCCTTCATCGCTATTCTTCTTAACTTGATTAACGGTTACCTGTTGCAACCAACGGTCTTTCCACTGAGCCACAATTCCTTCCAACTCTTCTAATCGTCGTTGCATCATACGAAATTGTTGATCCTTTAGCTGAATGTAGTTTTCCTTTAGACACAAGTCACGAGTCAGTACACTATTTTCCTGTTGTAGAATCGCCAGCTGTGCTTGTAATGCCGCTAGATTATGCTGTAGCATTGCGGTTGTTAGCATTCTCTCGTAGTAATCTGTCTCGTAATTTCTAGTGCCTTGACTTAATTTTAAGTCGTCGAATGTGTTTATTGTTTTCGTAATATTCGTATATTTACAATTATTTAATGTAAATATCGGTTCTTTAAGCGCATGTCATGTCATGTGGCTTAAAGAACCGCATTTTTACATTATACCGCTATGACACGTTTGAGCTTCTCCACTTCAACATTTGTAGCCCTATGGAGCAAGAGACACTGGGTGGTAGCAAGTATTTGCTCCTCATCGTGGACGAAGCCAGCGGATACATGAAAGGTTTTGCCTAAGTGCAAGGTCTAAGAGCGAAGAACATCTCAAGACCTACATCAGGATGATGCAGACGCAGTTCAACAAGCCAGTCAAGTTCGTGCGTCACAGTGGAGCTCAAGAGTTTGCAACCAACTCTCTCAAAGTGCTCTATGAAGACCAAGGTACTAAACAGCAGATTACGGTACCGTACGCGCATCAAATTAACAAAACAGGTAGTGCGAACGCAGCTGAAGCAAGTAATATGGCGGAACCTGCAACTTTACAAGATGCGATAAGTGGAACAAACCAAGTGCATTGGCACAAACCCATACAAGTGAAACTCGAGTCGATGCAGCTTCGTGGTTTTTTTCCTTCTGCAAAATTGCCGAGCAACCAGCGCGCCATCGGTACCAAGTGGGTGTTCAAGATCAAGTGCAAGGCGGATGGATCGATCGAGAAGTTCAAGGTGCGACTTGTTGCGAATGGATTCAAGCAGAAATACGGCATCGACTATACGGAAACGTTCTCGCCGGTGGTGAAGTATGTGGCTTTACGCATGGTTATTGCGATCACCAAGTACTTCGACTGGCCTCTGGACAAGCCTGACCTGGTTACAGCATTCCTGTATGGAGTAATGAAGGAACAAGTGTTTTGCGTCATTCCAGAAGGCGTTGAATGGATGGTGACTTTGACTGTTTGGAATTGGTGAAGGCAATCTACGGTCTTAAACAAGCCTCGCGCGTTTGGAACGAGATTTTCGACGAGTTTGTGCGCTCAATTGGATTTCAAGTATCGGCATTTGATCCATGTTTGTACATCAATGGTTGTGGATGGTCACTGCGTGCTGCTACTGGTATACGTGGATGACGTTCTGGTAACAGGCAGTTCAATTGACCTGATTGCACAGACCAAGAGTGATCTCAAGATGCGTTACGAGATGACCGACAGCGGCAAGTGCACATTTGTTTTGGGCATCGAGCTGATTGATGGACCTGATGGTAGTGTCACCATGTGCCAGCGACGCTATGTCGACGACATTCTCAAGCGTTTTGGCATGAGCGAGTGCAAGGCTGCCATAAGTTCGGTCGATCTAAGATCTCGACTAGTGCCCAGCAGTACCGTGACCAAGGTGGATGCTCCGTTTCGCGAAGGGGTTGGTGTTTTGATGCATTTGGTGACTGCAACACGCCCAGATATCGCGTATGCTGTGGGTTATGTGTCTCGCTTTATGGAGAATCCCCAGCAAGAACACTGGATGGCAGTAAAACGCATCTTTCGCTACCTACAAATGAACAAGTCACATGGAATTCGCTATCAGCCGACGGACAAGATCGACTTTCGCAGAAATTCTGACGCGGAATGGGCCGGCAACCATGCTGATCGCAAGTCAACTTCGGGTTACGCGTTCGTACTTCTCGGTGCACCCA